GTAAACAAACGTTCCCACAGTAAAGGTTTCTTAGGACTTCTCTGAAGTCCAGAAATGAGTTATTTTTTCGCTCAACGTTTGCCGTGTTGGGGAATGCAGGAAGGGACGGAGGGGGGGGGGGGGGGGAAGAGTGACCACCTTATCTTCGTTCCTGGATTCACTCTTGCTCTGACAGTACACCGCCATAATGGGGCAAAAACCGCAGCTGCGAGCAACAAAACGAAAGTCAGTTGCTGCTTAAGGTAATTTTCAAGAATTTACCAAGTAGGAAGTCCATCAAAATGATAGTGCTTATGCTGGTTGGCCTAAAAAGACGGACGGATATCGGGCGTGCGGATATATCCGTCGGTGTTTTGAGGTTTGGTGCGAATGTATACCAATTAGTCTCGGCTGCTGACGGCTCGCAATTGACCTAAAAACCGAAATTCCCCCGTCGCAAGAAACTTATAACCATTGCCGGGAAGCATGGTGCCATGACGCCGACCTGAGTCGTGACGTCATACCGTGACACCGGGCTGAGCCGTGACGTCGTGCCGTGACGCTGGTCTGAGTCGTGACGTCGTGCCGTGACACCGGCCTCAGTTGTGACGTGTAATGTGCAGTCAACTGCATTCTAGTGACAGTCTCTGCCTGCCATGAAACGTTGCACGAAGTACAACTATTCATGATAGCAAACCTTTCTACTCCAATGTGATAAAATTGAAACACTGGCCATGCGCCACCTTTATTTTCTATAAATTTGCAAATTAAGGGCAATATCACAGCTTTTTATACTGTTCACTCATTGTCAGATCAGAAGCGTGCGATTTGATCAGAAATGCCAGTTTTGTCGGAAAGCTTCTGAGTAGCTTAGAATTTGGGTTTGAAGCAGTCACTTCTACGGGAAAAATCTCATTTGACTCCCTACTCACCACCATGGCAGTCATGGGCATAGGAACAGGGGGGAGGGGGGGGGGGCAGGGGGGCCATGGCCCTCCCCCACTTTTCAAGGTGGGGTGGGGGGGGGGGGGGCAATGTTAACTGGCCCACCACTTTTCAGATTAAGGTTGCAGTTGGCTTACTTTTGCACGGCATTAAACATGCATGCCGATTTACCTAGTTCACCAACCATCTCCCTTAAGATGCGTCACTTTTTTTGTTTACTTACTGGCCATCACTTAGTGTTATATCCGCAAGGCCGACTCCGCACGGCCTGGATGCTGCAACGCAGGGCGTCGAGGCTGTTATTGCTATGACTTGCGAGCACGCGTGTTCAACACCAAATTACGCAATTTCTTATCAGTAACCAACTCTGACAGGATCTTGAGCATTATAGGACGAACATGGGCTAGCCACGTTAATACAGACTGTGAACCCCATTTCATCTGCAATCTATGGTCAAGGAGAACTCGATATCTATAAAGAACACGTAAAAACCATGGAACTGTAGTCTATGTGAAAACTATCGGACTGCCTGCGGTGATCAGGGATGTTGTTGCGTCATTGAGGGTCCCTGTGCTGATCCGGGGCTAACCGTGGATCGGTTAGCCCCGGATCAGAAGCGTGTGGATCAGAAGGCCTCCCATGTCAGGGATGGGTACAATATGATATGATATATCCTTCTAATGACCTCCGGAACGACCAGGAGGTCCCACCCCGTACCACCAGAATGATAGCCGGAAGACACTTCGCGATGGGACAGAATAGCCCTTCAGCTCTTGACCGGAAACGGTAATGCACCCCTGGTGTCCCACTCAAGAGGCCCCTTGCCCGGAGGGGAATAAGGGGCCTCATTATTGTTGAGTAGAGTAAAGCTCTCATTATTGTTGAAAAGCACAGGCCGAAATGAACAACAAACAAAAAAACGAACAACGTCATGCCATATTTGCCTGAGAACGTTTATTTCTTTCAGAATGTATTATTGAAACAAAATACGAACATGCCCGCCCGCAACCTCGAGAGCAAGGACAGGGATAGTCTGGGTTGCAACTTCCGTAAAACCGATAAGTTTCGGCCTCTGCAAGTGCCACCAGACGGCGGGCGCCATGTTAATCTGTCTTCTGGACAGATCAATAGCTGCGGGAACACGAAAAATAGAGATTTTACATCCACTTTTCCAGTTCATCCCCCCGATTCCAGCCCCACTTCGCGGTGCTTTAAGGGCCAATCCGTTCTTTTCATCAATCTAAAAATTGCACGCGTGAAATATGTCCTCAGACAGCCTTCTAAATACAAGATATGATGTCATGAAGCGTTCAAGGATGCTTTCTCAGAAGCGTCGTCATTTTCGTCCGCCCGGTAGTCTCAACTTAATATTAGTTTCTAGACCAACTCTGCGCGGCCTACGGAGACTGCAACACCTGGGGCGAGGCTTGTGTTTCTAAAATTTTAGAGTGCGCATGTTCAAAATTAGGCCACATAACTTGTGTAACTATTTGACACAAGTGTTTAAAGGTAATCTTCGTCCACCGGTGGGCCACGGCGAAATGAACTACTGAGCTTGCTCTCCGCAGATTATGGAGACTGCAACGCCTGGTGTCAAGGTTTTTGTTGCTAAGATTTGCGAGCGAGCACGTTAAAAAACATGTTAGATAGATGAATTGCATCACTTATCGGTTCTGCCTGAATGGTGAACATTTTCAGACAAACATGGCCTTGCCATGTTAATGCAAATTGTTGATCATTCGATTTGCAATCAAATTTTCGCCTCCAAATTTGGATCAAACATATCGATCTACAGCCTACCTTCGAGATGTCCTCAATATCTGTAGAACCAAGATAAAAAATTGACAAAGCTTCTGGATTCTATGGGTTTAGAAAGAGTCAGCTAACTACTGTAACTTAAGAGCGTCGGTAATTTGCTCTATGCCGTCGTTCAACGCCTGATTTCTGCAGCTTGTTGACCTCGAAATGCAAACAAAATTGAGCTCATGGTAGCTCCCGGTTTCTGTTCTGGTTACAAGGTAAAATTAACAATAAAACGAAAAAAAACGTGTTACTTGTTAACAAGTAAGCCATATCCGAGGATTTTTTTTTGGGGGGGGGGGCACCATAAGATGGGCTTTTGTCAACTCTGTGTTCCATCTTGGCAAGGCTCCGGCTACGCTCCTGCCTACACACAAAAGCAGGTCAAGTCGCGCACGTTGCATGATGACCAATGAAATGTCCGTTGGGCCAATCCATACCTAAGGCAGACAGCTTCCCGGAGGCAATTTCTGCGATGGTGTGGTGTAAGGGAAGATAATTCGGGAAAAATGCTGTTGCAGATGTCCAACACATGTTTCATACACCATGTAAAAGCAACGCTGATCCAAAAGTGTGCAACAAAGTAGCCACACCATCAGCTCGTAGTCAGTCATGCGGGAGACATTCAGGCCAGGGCAGTTACCACCGATGGCGGACAGCAGCATGGCCCAGATAAGGAACATATCACAGATGAGCCTTATTATGTGGGTAGATTCTTTAAGAAATCTCCATTTTTATGAACTTTGTTACATTGTTTCTAGCGGTTTCAAGCTCCCGAATTTGTTTCCGCCTAAAATGCTACAAGTCTTATTTCTTGAAAAGCAGCCGGCAAAATTAAGGCGCATGAAAAATATGGCGCGCTGTGAGCCATCGATCCACTTTCAAAATTCTCACCAGCCTATATCCAGGCCATGTTTTGGCATTTACACTGTGGAGACAAATGCTCCTTAATGACCCAAAACACCTACCCGCTCGTGGAATTTCGTCTCCCCAGTAAACACAATGTTAAAATGGGCGAATAATCTAGGGAAGCTAGATAGCATTATTTGCCAAATGACAGATGCGTCGAATAGGCAAGATTGTGCACCAGTGCACAGCTCCAGGCGCATAGCGGCCATGACATTTCAATAAAGAGCGATGACATTCTCCATCCCTACCCCTCCCTCCCGGTCATCGGGCTCCCTGTCCCGAAAAAGTTCCTGAAGTATACCCTGAGCTTGCCCCCCCTCCCACTTTTTGAAACGTTCCTACGCCTATGATTGCAGTAACAATTTCATTTGGCCTGCTTTTCCAACATGTGTGTTCTGTGATGTCTGCAAAACATTAATATGTCAAAATGTTGATGTAATAAAAGCTACGAAAGCTTGGAACGCTCAGTTTTCACAAAGGGATACGCGAACATGAAGCCATCGTGCCACGAATTAAACGAAACGTTATGCTACGGTTTTGACTTCTCCTCTCGTGCGTTTACCATAGAAGCTCTTTTCGAGGCGCACATGGCTTTGTGAATGGAAGCATCACGTGGTTCATGGTGACGCACTGGTTCAAACTTCAAGCAGCGCGCTGCTCAGTAGTAGGCCCTTGTCGCACGCTGGGCCAATCGCAAAGCTCTTTTACTCACTAAAGCAGAGATGCGCACAGCGGTTGTCATGACGACGGTGATCGCGACTGTAAGGGAGAAATACTTGCTGCTACAGAGCGCTGACAGCAATATTTGGATGCGAAAATGATTAAAATTGATATCGCTCTCATGACTTGACGGTGCTGCTGTGGCACCACACATTGCTATTGTCACACGTAACCGGTCCTGAGGTTTCACGAAGGTCTTTAAATATGCCTCAAAGATGGGAGATTTTCTTTAAAAACAAAGTTTCACCTGTAAAGATACTGAAGGAAGCATCAGATATGGTGACACAAGCTCACTTTGTAAGTGTTGGTATACTTTTAAGTGGAAAGGGCTTCTCTAGACAACACAATTTCTCTGTTAAATAAATATGATCCTCGATACGTCGTTGTTTGATTGCATCATCGTATCCTGTACAAAATTGATTGGGAGCCAACTGACGGCCGTTATATCTGGAAATCATGCTCACGAACGCCAGATATGAACAACCCGACCACCATCTTTTTTAGCCTTGATCACCGCATGGCTAATGGGATGACAGCATTTAAATGCCGTTATTATTACATCATGCGTTCTAAGGTGAATTCGAAACACTCCCCCTGCTCCCCTGCCGTTGTGGTCGGAAACATCTAGCACGACCCACAGCCCAGAACCACTTTCACAACTGTATTGTACGTCTGTAGAAAAATAAACACCATCCATCGGATCCGAGGCGTCCGAGCATCACTCGGCACAGCTCATCGCTGCCAAACATCGGTCAAAACATCATGACAAGCAAGATGGCGGCGCTCGGCTGCCCGGCGGTGGATGACACGCGGTGACGAGACTCGATCGCCTCGCCTTCTTCCAAAGGGCTCAGGCGGATTGGCCAGTGCACACAGCTCCAGTCAGCACTCAGCGACTGGCCAGTGTACACAGCTCCAGTCCCACCAACTGGCAAGTGTTCACAGCTCCTCCATTCACCTCCAACGGGCCGGCGGCCGCTCCAGCCTACCACTACTGCAGCGGTGCGCAGCGGGCATCTGCGGCACTAGCAGTACGGGTAGCCGGGGCAGGCGGCAGCACTGACGCCGGCCGGGTACTGGCCCGTGTACTGGGGCAGCACGGCGTTGTTGCAGTAGGGGAAGTTGGGGCAGGCGGCCGGCGCCAGACCGGCCGGGTACTCGCGGGCCAGCGGCGCGCCAGACGGCGCCAGGCGGGCCAGGTTGAGGGCGGCCAGCGTGTTGGCGTCGTTGCCGCAGTACGGGTAGTTGGGGCAGGCGGCGGGCGACACGCCGGCCGGGTACTGCACCTGGGCCGCGCACGCGGCGATCAGCACGGCGAAGGCGACCTGCGGACCGGAGGTGACAGTGAACGCGGTCACCAGGCAGCAGGAGTGGAAAGTCATGCATTTGGTTGAAGGGAAGGAGGTGTGGGTTCTATAAAACACAACCTTACTGTTCCTGGTGACCTTCAGAAAACTTCTGGGTACCTTGTGCTTCACAGTCGATGATACAGACATGGAAGGAGGAAAGAAGTGAGAGAGCGGTAGTGTCTTGAAAATAGGTGTGAAAGTTCGCTTGTCCATGTGCGCAGTCGTGTTTATTAACCACCATATATTGCACTGACTAAGTTTCTCAAGTGGCACGCACCTAGGGCTAGTTCTCGAGCTTATTACGGTTATATATGATCAACTAGAGGTAGACCTGACCATTTCAAGAACAGAAATATGGGCTACAGAACGTCTGGAAAGTCACATTACCCGATCTTTTCAGAGCCCCCCAACTATACACAGGCATTTGCCAATAAGCGATAAAACGCATCCTTAGTCTATCGTTGTTTCCCGTTGTTAGTTCCAGCTGACTTACCAGAGACTGCATGGTGTCAGCTGAGTGGAGCCCAATGGAAGGATGCCCGCCTCTTCGCACGTGGCGTCTTATATAGCGGCCGCCAGTCAATGTCATGTGTCATTGGAATTCAGCGCGTAGCACCGTCAGCTGTGTAGGCGCCAGAGGCCAGGCGGAGAGCATCGAAACTCGCCACGTAGACAACCAATTAGTCCTGGGTAACTTTAGGCAAGTCGCAGAGCAGGCAGCGACAACCTAAGCCTTGTATATTAATTGGAGGCTTTTTAATGCTACATACATTGCACAAAAGTGTCTAAGCAAACTAACCGTTGTCCATCGGTCGGTACAAGATAGTGGTTCGCAATCAATGTGAGGCAAAAAGGATCATCATCGTTACTTGTTACTTCTTGTTACTTGCCACTTCAGTTACTTGGCGTCAAATTGGCGCGCAGCCAGAGGGCGGGAGAGTGGCTTTTCCACCTTGAGCCCGCATTTTTTTACTCCAGCACCATCAACGACTTTGGCTCTTTTACGATGAGTGCTCACTGAGGTCCGCACCATCCTCCTCCCTACGAATGTCCTGGCTGCGTACCTGGCTGAAAAGTAATGTAAACAAACGCTCCCACAGTAAAGGTTTCTTATGATTTCTCTGAAGTCCAGAAATTATTTATTTTTTCGCTCAACGTTTGCCGTGTTGGGGAATGCAGGAAGGGACGCAGGGGGGTGGGGGTGGGGGAGGAGTGATCACCTTATCTTCGTTCCTGGATTCACTCTTGCTCTGACAACACCCCGTCATAATGAGGTAATAACGGCAGCTGCGAGTAACGGCACGACAGCCAGTTGCTGCTTAAGGTAATTCTCGAGAATTATCAAGTAGGAAGTTTATAAAAATAACAGTACGGATGCTGGTTGGCCTAAAAAGACGGACGGATACCGGGCGTGCGGATATATCTGTCGGTGTTTTGAGGTTTGGTACGAATGTATACCAATTAGTCCCGGCTGCTGATGGCTCGTAATTGACCTAAAAACCGAAATTCCTGCGTCGCAAGAAACTTATGACCATTGCCGGGAGGCATGGTGCCATGACGCCGACCTCACTCGTGACGTCGTGCCGTGACACCGGGCTGAGCCGTGACGTCGTGCCGTGACACCGGACTGAGCCGTGACGTCGTGCCGTGACACCGGACTGAGCCGTGACGTCGTGCCGTGACACCGAGCTGAGTCGTGACGTCGTGCCGTGACGCCGGCCTGAGTCGTGACGTCGTGCCGTGACACCGACCTGAGACGTGAAGTCGTGCCGTGACGCCGACCTGAGCCGTGACGTCTTACCGTGACACCGACCTGAGACGTGAAGTCGTGCCGTGACGCCGACCTGAGCCGTGACGTCATACCGTGACACCGACCTGAGACGTGAAGTCGTGCCGTGACGCCGACCTGAGCCGTGACGTCATACCGTGACACCGGGCTGAGCCGTGACGTCGTGCCGTGACGCCGGCCTGAGTCGTGACGTCATACCGTGACACCGGCCTGAGTCGTGACGTCGTGCCGTGACGCCGGCCTCAGTTGTGACGCGTGATGTGCAGTCAACTGCATTCTAGTGACGTCTCCGCCTGCCATGAAACGTTGCACGAAGTACAACTATTCATGATAGCAAACCTTTCTACTCCAATGTGATAAAATTGAAACATGGCCATGCGCCACCTTTATTTTCTACAAATTTGCGAATTAAGGGCAATATCACAGCTTTTTTATACCGTTCACTCATTGTCAGATCAGAAGCGTACGATTTGGTCAGAAATGCCAGTTTTGTCGGAAAGCTTCTGAATAGCTTAGAATGTGGGTTTGAAGCAGTCACTTCTACGGGAAAAATCTCATTTGACTCCCTGCTCACCACCATGGCAGTCATGGGCATAGGAACAGGGGGGGGGGGGGGGGGGGCAGGGGGGCCATGGCCCTCCCCCACTTTTCAAGGTGGGGTGGGGGGGGGGGGGGCAGCAATGTTAACTGGCCCACCACTTTTCAGATTAAGGTTGCAGATGGCTTACTTTTGCACTGCATTAAACATGCATGCCGATTTACCTAGTTCACCAACCATCTCCCTTAAGATGCGTCACTTTTTTCGTTTGCTTATTGGCCATCACTTAGTGTTACAGCCGCAAGGCCGACTCCGCACGGCCTGGAGGCTGCAGCGCAGGGCGTCGAGGCTGTTATTGCTATGACTTGAGAGCACGCATGTTCAACACCAAATTACGCAATTTCTTATCAGTAATCAACTCTGACAGGATCTTGGGCATTATAAAACGAACATGGGCTAGCCACGTTAATGCAGATTGTGAACCCCATTTCATCTGCATTCTATAGTCAGGGAGAACTCGATATCTCTGAAGAACACGGAAAAACATGGAACTGGAAGTCTATATGAAAACTATCGACTGCCTGCGGTGATCAGGGATGTTGTTGCGCCATTGAAGGTCCCTGTGCTGATTCGGGGTTAACTGCGCGGATCAGAAGGCCTCCCATGTCAGGGATGGGAACAATATGATACGATATATCCTTCTAATGACCTCCGGAACGACCAGGAGATCCCACCCCGTGCCACCAGAATGATAGCCGGAAGACACTTCGCGATGGGACAGAATGGCCCTTCAGCTCTTAACCGGAAACGGTAATGCACCCCTGGTGTCCCACTCACCCTTGCCCGGAAGGGAATAAGGGGTCTCACTATTGTTGAGTGGAGTAAGGCTCTCATTATTGTTGAAAAGCACGGGTCGAAATAAATTAAAAAAACGAACAACGTCATGCCATCTTTGCCTGAGAACGTTTATTTCTTTCAGAATGTATTATTGAAACAAATTACGAACATGCCCCCCCCCCGCAACCTCGAGAGCAAGGACAGGGATAGTCTGGGTTGCAACTTCCGTAAAACCGATAAGTTTCGGCCTCTGCAAGTGCCACCAGACGGCGGGCGCCATGTTAATCTGTCTTCTGGACAGATCAATAGCTGCGGGAACACGAAAAATAGAGATTTTACATCCACTCTTCCAGTTCCACCCCCGATTCCAGCCCCACTTCGCGGTGCTTTAGGGGCCAATCCGTTCTTTTCATCAATTTAAAAATTGCACGCGTGAAATATATCCTCAGACTGCCTTCTAAATACAAGATATGATGTCATGAAGCGTTCAAGGATGCTTTCTCAGAAGCGTCGTCATTTTCGTCCGCCCGGTGGTCTCAACTTAACATTAGTTTCTAGACCGACTCTGCGCGGCCTACGGAGACTGCAACGCCTGGGGGCGAGGCTTGTGTTTCTAAAATTTTAGAGTGCGCATGTTCAAAATTAGGCCACATAACTTGTATAACTAGTTCACACAAGTGTTTAAAGGTAATCTTCGTCCACCGGTAGGGCCACGGCGAAATGAACTACTGAGCTTGCTCTCCGCAGATTATGGAGACTGCAACGCCTGGTGGCGAGGTTTTTGTTGCTAAGATTTGCGAGTGAGCACGTTAAAAAAAAAACATGTTAGTTAGATGAATTGCATCACTAATCGGTTCTGCCTGAATGGTGAACATTTTCAGACAAACATGGCCTGGCCATGTTAATACACATTGTTGATCACTCGATTTGCAATCAAATTTTCGCCTCCAAATTTGGATCAAACATATCGATCTACAGCCTACCTTCGAGATGTCCTCAATATCTGTAGAACCAAGATAAAAAATTGACCAAGCTTCCGAATTTCATGGGTTTGGAAAGAGTCAGCTAACTACTGTAACTTAAGAGCGTCGGTAATTTCCTCCGTGCCGTCGTTCAACGCCTGATTTCTGCAGCTTGTTGACCTCGAAATGCAAACAAAATTGAGCTCAAGGTAGCTCCTGGTTTCTGTTCTGGTTACAAGGTAAAATTAACAATAAAACGAAAAAAACCGTGCTACTTGTTAACAAGTAAGCGATATCCGGGGATTTTTTTTTTGGGGGGGGGGTCACCATAAGATGGGCTTTTGTCAACCCTGTGTTTCCTCTTGGCAAGGCTCTGGCTACGCTCCTGCCTACACACAAAAGCAAATCAAGTCGCGCACGTTGCATGATGAGCAATGAGGTGTCCGTTGGGCCAATCCATACCTATGGCAGACAGCTTCCCGGAGGCTATTTTCTGCGATGGTGTGGTGTAAGAGAAGATAATTCGGGAAAAATACTGTTGCAGATGTCCAACACATGTTTCATACACCATGTAAAAGCAACGCTGATCCAAAAGTGTGCAACAGAGAAGCCACACCATCAGCTCGTAGTCAGTCATGCGGGAGACATCCAGGCCAGGGCAGTTACCACCGACGGCGGACAGCAGCAGGGCCCAGATAGGGAACATATCACAGATGAGCCTTATTATGTTGGTCGATTCTTTAAAAAAATCTCCATTTTTATGGACTTTGTCACGCTGTTTCTAGCGGTTTCAAGCTCCGGAATTTGTTTCCGCCTAAACTGCTGCGACAAGTCTTATTCCTTGAAAAGCAGCCGGTGAAATTAAGGCGCATGAAAAACGTGGCTCCCTGTGAGCCATCGATCCATTTTCAAAATTCTCACCAGCCTATATCCAGGCCGTATTTTGGCATCTACACTGTGGAGACAAATGCTCCTTAATGACCCAAAATACATACCCGCTCGTGGAATTTCGTCTCCCCAGGAAACACATTGTTAAAATGGACGAATAATCTAGGGAAGCTGGATAGCGTTATTTGCCAAATGACAGATGCGTCGAATAGGCAAGATTGTGCACCAGTGCACAGCTCCAGGCGCATAGCGGCCATGACATTTCAATAAAGAGCGATGACATTCTCCATCCCTACCCCTCCCTCCCGGTCATCGGGCTCCCTGTCCCGAAAAAGTTCCTGAAGTATACCCTGAGCTTGCCCCCCCTCCCACTTTTTGAAACGTTCCTACGCCTATGATTGCAGTAACAATTTCATTTGGCCTGCTTTTCCAACATGTGTGTTCTGTGATGTCTGCAAAACATTAATATGTCAAAATGTTGATGTAGTAAAAGCTACGAAAGCTTGGAGCGCTCAGTTTACACAAAGGGATACGCGAACATGAAGCCATCG